CCCGCGAGGAGAAGCTCCGCTATGTGGACACGATCGTCAAGCTTCTACAGTTGGAAGATCTCGAGCACACTCTCATCGGTCGCCCGGGTGCCGGACTTTCTGTCGAACAGCGCAAGCGTAAGTCTGAATCCATGGAACGGAGTCGAGACAGACACTAACAACTTATCAGGTCTCACAATTGGTGTTGAGCTCGTAGCTAAGCCCAGTATTTTGATCTTCCTCGACGAACCTACTTCTGGTCTCGATGGCCAAGCTGCAAACAACACGGTCCGCTTCTTGCGCAAACTCGCGGAAGTCGGACAAGCTGTCCTCGTCACGATTCATCAGCCATCAGCCGACCTCTTTGCCCAATTCGACACCCTCCTCCTACTAGCGAAGGGTGGCAAGACCGTATACTTTGGTGATATCGGCCATCATGCAAGGACCGTCAAGAAATACTTCGCTGATCATGGCGCACCGTGCCCCCGTGAGGCCAACCCTGCTGAGCACATGATTGAAGTCGTATCAGGAAGTCTTTCTAAGGGCAAGGACTGGAACCAAGTCTGGCTCAACTCACCAGAGCACGAGAAGATCACTCAGGAGCTTGACACTCTTGTTGCCGATGCTGCCGCCAAACCGCCTGGAACTGTCGATGATGGCCATCAATTCGCAGCGCCCATGTGGGAGCAGGTAAAGCTTGTCACGCACCGCATGAACATCTCCTTGTTCCGCAACACCGAATACATCAACAACAAGCTCATCTTGCATATACTCCTGTCTCTTTACAACGGCTTTTCGTTCTGGTCGATTGGTAACAGCGTCAGCGATCTCCAGCAACGCCTCTTCACGGTCTTCAGTTTCCTGTTTGTCGCCCCCGGTCTCATCTCCCAGCTTCAGCCTATCTTCATCGATCGTCGCAACGTATATGAGACGCGCGAGAAGAAGAGTAAGACCTACCACTGGGTGCCATTCGTCACTGGCTTAATCGTTTCTGAGCTGCCCTACCTGGTCGTCTGTGGTGTGTTGTACTTTGTGTGTTGGTACTGGACTGCTGGATTGCCAAATGATACCAAGTGGGCAGGCAGCACATTCTTCGTCGCAGTAAATTCTCTCTTCTTTGGTTGACTCCTCGCTCCAAACTAACAAACCGTCTAGATGTTTTACGAGATGTTGTACACCGGTATTGGACAATCGATCGCCGCGTACGCTCCCAACGCAACCTTTGCATCTCTCGTCAACCCGCTGGTCATCACCACCCTCGTATCATTCTGCGGTGTCTTCGCTCCTTACTCCCAGATCACGGCGTTCTGGAGATACTGGTAAGCCTCGTACGACTATCAACACCACGAGATCAATGCTAACATCACATTTTAGGCTCTACTACCTCGATCCCTTCAACTACCTCTTCGGCGCCTTCCTCACCTTCACCACCTTCTCCGTCGATATCACTTGCGAACGGGGCGAGCTTGCGGTCTTCAATCCTCCTGCGAACGAGACATGTGGCGACTATCTCTCCACCTATCAGCAAGGCATGGGACGTGGCACGAACCTTTTGAACCCAGGCGCTACGGAGAACTGCGAGGTGTGCCGATACACTACTGGACAAGACTACTTGAAGACACTCAACTTGAACGAAGAGTACTACGGCTGGAGGAATGCCGGGCTGGTTGTATTGTGGGCTGGCGTGTTCTACGCCCTGGTGTTCTTGATGATGAAGTTGCGAACCAAGTCGACGAAGAGGGCATCTGCGTAGACGAATGGTATTTGTTGAAGAGTGAAAGATTGCCAAGATACCCTACTCGCGGATGCTCGAGGGCATTGAACTAAAGGCGGTAATGGGTCAAGGAAATGATCATCGGATGTTGTTTGTTAATAATTTTGTATTGGATTATATTACCGCTTGCCTGATTGGAAGACATACGAACTAACGTAGCACTGCCGCTCCTGGCCGAAATTATGGATCTAGCGCCGAGTTTCTCTACAGCCGCGCCAGATTTGGCGCCCGTTGCCGAGTGGGACTCGTCATTGTCCTCGAGTTGAACTTCAAATTAGCAGAAACCATTATTGCAGATCCCTTCCACTACAGAACAAAAGGAAACACAAATAGTCGAAATAAAATACATTCTTGTCCTAGGATGTGGAATCTTTTCTAGTATATGGACCATCGCAGTGACGCAGGGCGGCAGGGAGAAGAAGATAAGGATGCAAGCTGATAGGCTACCTTTACTGCCATACGTGCTATATACTCTTTCTTGAAGAAGAACATACTATGTTTTGTGTAAAACGGTTTTGATTTATAGCAGCCATTGTCCTCAAATTCCTTGCTTAGCATTTCAATTATGGTACTCTCTTGCTCACCTAATAATGACAGATACTTAGATAATAAAATCCTGTTTTGATCATGACAGTTCTTCGTAAATAGTGCTCGCCAAGTCTGGTAGAGCACCTTGACTAGCCATCCAACTGGGTAACTAATGCATTACACTTGCGTCACTTTCAGCGACTACATTTATAGCAATAAGAATAGAGTTACTTTTTGGTCAAGGCAGTCAAGTCTCCACTAGCCACATGAGAAACATCCATTCTATTGCTCTTGGCAGATCTATCAATTCCCTAGCCGAAGAAGATAATGACTCACTGTACCACTAATTCTCGGCGCTTTCCCGACCGTCAGGACCAGCTATAATAAGGAAGCCCCTTTCGACTAGGTAGGTGACTTAAGAGGCTTCGTCACATTCTTCATCCAAAGCTGCTCTCTTTGGAGATGGCTCATTGCAAGCCTCAAGCTCACAACCCACTTCCTCTTCGGAGATACACAGTTTCGACGAGGTTCTTCAATAGAATGGGCGTCAAAAAAATGCCGTTGTAGGAGCAAGGTACTATTATGAAACCTATTCTTGCAGCAGGGATGAGGGCATTGAATAGCCTCCTCCTTTCCTCTGCCAGCCAAATGTTTATTGTCAATGTGGTCTATCAGTGTAGATTTCTCCTGCCATTATTAGAATCATTCCGCGGGCGTTTTAGTATGGCCACCCAAGCAGAAAGGACAGAACCTAGGAGTAACCAGTGTGAAGCAGAACCTTAATAGTCTACACTAAGGTTATAGACTGTCCAAGTGGAATCGGCAGTGCTCAGTCCAAGCATCCTCTGTATCAAACCATTTAGCATATAAGTAGCACTATTCAAGAAAAGATTACTTTGCTTGTCGATGCGCTCTCTTGCCATTTGTATAGAGCTACTGGTATAGTGCGGCATTTAGGGATTTCCTTCTGCACTGTAGAATGTGTTTTAAATAGCTTGCTAAATCAATACTGCGAAAATTAGCTACTGAAATAGATGTAGGATATCTAAACAAACCTAGACATTTCTCTAGAGCATACTGGACATCTCCTGTTGATTAGCGATTCACCAGGATAATATGCCAATCTTATATTTAAGACGCAGATATCCACCATATCCTATAAACACTGTCTTCGGATCTTACTATTAATCAAGGATTCAAGGCTTGGTGAAGAGGTTATCATGTAAACAATCTCTCTCTGGCATATACTTGCAGCAGATTATAAAGAGACATATTAGATCATGCTCCCTAAACTCATTCCCTGCAATAGATTCATCTTAAGAAGATCTCTACTAGTTATTAATAAACTCAACATTCTTAGCACGGCCCTTCTTAGCTGCTTTTATGTAGAGCTTTTCCCACTTAAGTGCTAATTCTTTATGCCCACTAGGCTTTCCTCTGGTTTGTTAAGTATCATTATTAATCCTGTAGTAGATCTCTTTCATTCCATCATCATTCTCAACCTGCGCAGTGGCAGCAGCATTAAGACATTAGGGAACATTAGTATCGCGATGATGAGCCATGCTTTCTTCCATTTCCAGACATTTATAGTCTGGCTTTAGGTTCCAGAAGCTGGCCTGGACATCAACACACTTGAATTTCAACTGATACTTGAGGAAGGTGTCTGGGTTCTAGTGATCCAGTGCTTAGCTTCTCGCTGCTTGGGAAGCCTTTGCTATGAACCTGTTAGTATCTGCAAGAAGTTGCATAACAGACAAGATGACTCATGATCAATTGCATTTACAATGCCCCCTCTAATTCTGTGGATTCTTAACTGGTCTTGGAAAGAGGCCCATTGGCTAAGCAACATAAAATGGTGCTGTATTGATGAAAAGGTCATTGCATGGGTGGGATGCAGTCCATCAACAGTCACCATGCGAAGCACTAGTAGGTCTTGTACATGCACTTCCCATTCAAGGGTCCATGACTCTCTTCCTTTTGGTAGCCTTTTATCTAATAACTCATCAACTGTGCGGATGCCCCTAAAGGCCATATCAGTTATACCTGTAACCATAACATAGAATATGGAATTTCTTCCAAGTATATCTTGCTCTGGTATCCAATTTCTAGGACTATATCACCGCAATCAGCTATGTAACATTAAGGATAAAGAAGAGAGATCGTTACATCACCACCTCATCATTGTAGCAATGGCCTTTGAGGAACTCTGGGTCCATGCTGACCCAGTACTTGACTTCTTCAGTTTTTGAATCCCATTGTAGATTGAAGGAAAGATGCTACATATCAATTAGCATGTGACCCTCAGATAAGTAGAGCAATGAGACAAACTTTATAGTAGAGACACTCATTGGTACCACTGTAAGAACTCGACTCAACAATCGCACCAGAACCGGAGAACAAAGAGAGCGAGAATGCATCTTAGAATCTGGCACGCTTGTGTACGTAGTCATGGTCATCATCTTCAAATAAATGTTGAAGAAGTAGATCAAGATCCTGTCTAGTCACAGGAAACTTCTCTTGATTTTTAGTAGCAAGCCCATACTTCAGAGTAAGTTCATTATGGATATTCTATGGATGGATTAGCACTATAGGCGTAGCATAACCGCCAAGGGTAACTCACATTGTAGAGACCATCCTTCACTGTATCTGGCAACTTTCTGTAAGTCTTTTTCTGCCACTCAGCAATAAAACAAGAGAGGTTAAGACAGACAGTATACTGAGTGGGCAAGTCTCCTTTGCATAAAGTGATAAATACCTCTGAAAAGAGCTTCAGGATTTGAACAGGAGGATCAGATTCATCCTTTGCGAAATATCGATCACCGGGTTCATTGAGAAAGCATCCATCTATAGGGCATGTCAGCAACTAGGCACAAAAGGGGGGCAATGAAGGAGCATTTATTTATATAATTTCCAAATCTCTACAGAGTGGCCGTATCTGTCATTGGTAGCCGGAGCCCTTTTCTTATGACTGATTTCGTTTGGTTTATTTTTTGTTTTTCCTGGTACTCTGTTGTAAATCCTCATAACTCAGCAAATTTGCGGAGCTCCTCCACTTTTCTCCTCAGATCAAGGTTATTTGAAGATGCGGCACGTGACATGATGTGCAAGGATGTGAGGAAACAAAATAAATCATAAAGAACACCGCTTGTAGATAGGAAAGGAAACAACGGTTGAGCAGAGAAGAAGCCCTCACATTTAAGCTGGCGATGGAGATACTATTAATGAGCTATAGGGAGTCTAGTCACCACAGAATTGCTCTCTCACCCACTGATCACCTATGCTCACCCATGCTGTTGGATAGCATCACTCAGCTCACCTTCACTCACCCGCACTCACCCTGTGGTTTAGCGTCTCTCACCCGTAAAGCAGCAGGTCTTCAAGGGCGCATATAGCTTCTGACCGCGTTGATAATACTGGCTTGAACGCAGTCAAAAGGTTGGTGGTACTACAGTTGCGCAATGCTGCCTTTCGTCGCGCGACCCTGGGTGAGCTTGGGTGAGTGCAGAATAAACCAGGTGAGCAGTCGCCCCATCGCGCGAGCTCACGCATTGAAATCATAAATAACCACACAATAGTCTTGCGGTTTATCTATTATTGGGGTCTAATTCTATTTTGAAACACCGGTGCCCTTGGCGAAGTACACAACCACATTCTATTCACTCTAGGCAGCATTATCCTTCCATCGCCATCCAGGGCCAATAACTTGCTGTATGATTTAGTGAGAAAACGTGGACTAACAGGGCCCTCAGCCTCACAATCACCACCTCTCAGGACCAGCGGCAAATCGCACCGCTATGTTGAGCGATTTCCGTTTCAAGACGGCAATTTGGAAGTCAACGATTAGTCCATGTTTCGCGTTAATACTGATGGTCTGCCTGGTCTGTCTGATGGTGCCGAAGCCGTTGGAGATAGCACTTGGTTTCCTTTTGTGGTAAACGCACCGATTAATCGACTTTTTCGCCTTCGGGCGCGACCGTCAAGCGAGGTGTCTGATATCTAGGTGAATCTAACAGGCTGGTCATCGCGTTGGTCTCATTGATTGAGCGTGTACAGACACGTACTGAGTATTGCTATCACAAGTGCTGGATGTCAATGCCTGGTTCCAAACCCAAGCCTGTCAGCTGAGAAAAGCACACTGCAAGCCAATCCATTAAATCGATTTTAGTGCTTATTTCGCTAGAAAATACCCTGTGTCTTGCTTAGACCGTCATACTGAGCACAGCCGAGGGCTACAGCTCCACCTGACCCCACCCTGGTCTGTTGTCCCTCTAGATTCGCGATACTTAGTCTATAGCACTCATTTCGTACAAGTATCCACAAGTGTGATTTCTAAGTTAGTATCACTTCAGTGAAGCTAGTATGGTCAAATTCAGTCCAATCGTCTAAGGCTTGGAATGCCAGTGCACGACATTAATCAATATCCTCAGTCAAGCGAAATGTCCAGGGCACTCGCAATGCGATATCATTGGTTGACTGAGGACCCTGTGACTGTCACTTTAATCCAAATGTCAAAGCGACAAATATCATTGAAAATTCTTTGACTGGCGCTTAAATCTGATTCTTCACGTGGATACTTTACAAACAGTACTCCGTAGACCGTAGTCTAATGACGAAGCAAATACATGAGAATCACCCAGCATATGCGTCCCAATTTAGAACTACAATATGTAGTGATCGCTATGGATCTATGCAGATTCCAATTCACGCTCGACGTAAATACACTATCTTTGTTGGATCTAAAACTGTGCTACCTCAGAATACTCACTTCTAAACATCTGGGACACCAGGGGTTTGTTAAATTAGAGCCAGTAGATGCAACCTCGCAATTTCTGAGCCTGCGGCCGCCAGGCTTCTCCTCAGAACAACGAGATCTCCAGACCTCGCCACCTCCCCATTGGTCTCTTTCTCTTTGTTGCTCAGATATGTTGCCAAACGACTTTGATGGTTCAATGACCGTCAAGATCATTCGTAACCTGAAGATCAACGTAGAGGGTGGGAGACAGACGGCGTCAATGACAACAATGACGAGTTTGCCAGCATCAGGCAGCATTGCACAGTTCTCTCAAGCCTGGAGACGGCTGTGGCACGGAAGATCGGCCGAAGAGGCATGCATTTCTCCGCATGTCTTAACTCGTAAGTCCAGAGCGCGGACCCCCGAGGTCCGGTGTGGAGATTTGGACCACCAGAATAATTGCAGTTCCCGCCTATCTTGCCATAGCATGGACATTCGTGGCACCGTTTCAATCTCAACATGCACAATCTGACGACGACTCTAAGCAACGACTTCAACAGCCGTCAATCTGTCTACGCCCTCACCAACGAATCGACAATATCGATGAGCGACTGATGGACCTAGTGTCTGAGGCGATTCTGCACACTCCTAGTTAGAGTGGCATAACCGACCCGCAAAAATCGAAACCCAAACCTCACCGAACTCGAAGCGGTGCGGGTTCGGGGGTAAGCCTAGGGAATCACTTTGGGTTCGGTTTCTCTATCCTAGAACTGTTTCGGGTTCGGTTAAACCGTTTGGTAACGGTTTTTGCGGTTTTTTGAGTTAGGTGAAACCGCCGGACCGCCCAACCCGTTTTACCTAGAAATCAGTCAAATCACTGAATTCTGTAGATATTCTAATGATTTTGATATCATTAGATAGCCCCTAATTCATGCTATCTAATGATATTAAAATTATTAGAAAATACCTAGTGGTTGTTGAGATATAAGGGAATAATAATCTCTGTCATGGGTTGGTATGGAAGTGCTGTGGATATATATATATGCGACCGATGGTTGACAACCATCATGGTTTAGAAATAATTTTTCAACCACCACCCATTCAACTCTATAGATATTGAATCGATATTTTAGATTTAGATTAGTATGGTGATATTTACTATATATTTCATATAAAAATCATAATTTTATATAAGTATGCTTGATAGGGGACATCAGAGGGGTCCCCGAAGGGCCCCAGGGGGAATGGTAAGGGTTAAAACAGTTGAAATTAGCGGTTTAACCAACCCGAAACCGAACCGAATCTAACCATGGTTAGTTAGTATAGACCTAGCTATACCTAGGTAGGCCTAGCGGCGGGTTTTTGTGGTTAAACCGCAAACAAATCGCAGCGGGCTCGATTTGGGTTGTGGGTTCTAAAATTTGAACTCGAAATCGCAGCGGTTCGGGTCCAACTATGGCTGAACTCGCCCGAACTCGCACCAAATGCAACTCTACTCCTAGTCCTTTTAACAGCCAGACAACTCATCTGGTAGTCCTACTCAGGGATAAGCAGAAGGGACTACGGGACATGGCAACTGAAATCGCCAGTGTTTCAGTGTCTCCAGAAATGTTTAAAAAGCTATAGAAGCCCAGAATCGCCATGTACTATGCAAGATATGAGACGGCTAGTAGCATTTTGACTTTAAATTTTGTCAGCCGGCTCCCTACAGCAAAGCTTGGGGGAAACTGGCCTATGCTGAAGGATAAATTCCCGCAGGGATATATATATCGCTTACTCCTACCAACTCAAACTAACCTTGTCCAAGGGTTGGCACATACCAATGGAATGTATCAGTTTGCCTGTAAGTTACCGCGTGCAACCTGTCAGAGTCACTAACAACACTCTAGTCTGGAGTGTGGACGCTCTTGGAAGGGCTGGGCTGCAACATACAGCATTATAGCCCAATGATTGATGTCCCTGTTACTGAGCAATAGAAAGTCCCTTCATACTGGAGTCTTAAGGCACTGCTGGTCTTTAGAAACCTGTTGGTTATCCTGGAAAAGTATTTGAGTCTCTGAATGGGAGGGTATTTGTCCATAGGAAATAGCCATCTCCTGTAATTCAGGAAATAAATCAAAGAGTCTGTTGCAGTTCCTTTATTCACATATGCTAGTAGCGTTTGTAAGGAAAATATGTATAAGGGTATGTCTTTAGCTTTTGAATGAATTCGGCTTCAAGTATCAACATTGATGCCAGCACAGCCGGCTAATACGTAAACAAAGTTTAATACATGTTCGAATTCAGTGAATTCAGGCACTAACCTGATTTGGTAATACAAGATTTGACCCCACAGCAGTCGTTCTCTCAAAACTACACTACAGAGAACATCCTGGTACTTGGCAGGGTACAGCCACGATGGTCGTTCCAGGCAGCAATCAATGGTTGTGCAGGTCAATCCGTAGCCTCAACTCCTTAATTTGACAAAGCTCGAATAAGCCTGGCGCAGCCCTGCATTTGTCCTGCCTCAGCCAACTTATAATCAACTCAACATGATAAACCACCGAATTGCGCAGGCATCCAAGGTTGCGCCTTTCACTCGACATGAGTTTTACAGTAAAGTTCGAATTTGTGCTATTCCCATTTTGACTTGCCCATTTTCTCAGTAGCCTCAGACTGTTCTCCCCTCTCCAGTCAACCAACACTTTTTGGGATGCGCCTGCGGAGTTTGTACCGTTGCGGGGCCACGACTCTTCTCCTCTATGAGCAGGTGGCTCTAGCAGATCTTGGGATCCAGGCGAATGATGTTGGTATGTATTCCCCAAAGCCTCATCTTTGAGACATCCTGAGGGTTTATATGAGGTGTACGTTTGTGACACATGCGATGTAATCAGACACCCTCAAGTCGGCCGCCAAAATAGTCGCGGCGCCCATGATGGAGTTCTACGACAAGAACCAGACTGAAGGCATCCCGGGCAAGCTGACAGGCACCTGGTACGTGGCGGGTGCCATGTTCATGACGCTCATCCAGTACTGGCATGCCTCCAGCGATGACACCTATAATCCCGTTGTGTCACATGACCTGATGTTCCAGTCGGGTGAGAATTATGACTTCTTCTCGCAAAATTACAGTCACTGGCTGGTAGGGGGATAGATCTGTCCCCTTTTTCATCCATGTTAATCTCTCCCAGGGTAATGATGATCAGATGTTCTGGGGTCTTGCCTCCATCACCGCTTCAGAGACTGGGTTCCCAGAGATCCCAGATAAACCCACCTGGACCTCCCTGGCGCGGGCTGTCTTCAACATGCAGGTTGCCCGATGGGATACCACGGATTGTGACGGCGGCATGCGATGGCAGATCCCGCTCTATCTGCCGGGTTACACGATGAAGAACGCCATATCTAATGGCGGTCTTTTTGAACTGTCGGCCCGGCTTGCACGCTTCACTATGAACAATACTTATGCGCAATGGGCTGAAAAGATCTGGGACTGGTCGGCCAGCACGCCGCTCTTACAGACTAATCACTGGTATATTGCTGACTCAACCTCCATTGAAGCCAACTGCAAGGATGCGGGAAATACTCAGTGGTCATATAATTACGGCACCTATTTGTCAGGGGCCTCATTCATGTATAACTATGTAAGTGATCCTGTGTCTAGTGACTTACCTAACCAGCTCGCTGATTACATATGGTGATAAAAAGACCAACGGGAATGAACAGTGGCTGGAGAGAGTCAACGGGCTGTTGAACTCCCTTCTTGGGACCTTCTGCCCCAACGACAAGGGTGGCGACGTCCTGTCTGAGGTTGCCTGTGAGCCCATCATGACCTGTGATCGCAATCAGATAGGCTTTAAAGGATACACGGCCATGTGGCTGGCGCATACCGCTATCCTCGTTCCCTCAACTGCGACCCGGATCTACCCAGTCCTGCAGGGATCTGCTCTCGCCATCTCTAAGCAGTGCTCTAAGCAGCCTGGTAATACCTGCGGCATGCGTTGGTGGCAGTCCACATGGGATGGCTTCACACCCGGACTGGAGTCGCAGATGGCGGCCCTGGGCGGTATCACAGCCAATCTGATGTATTTCAAGTCGACCGCACCGAAGACCATTGACACGAACCCGGACGGCAAGGAGCATCAGATTATTGCGACCCATGAGGAGGAGACGACCTTGGATACGCTCCCCCCCATTGACGTAGCCGATCGCGCGGGGGCGTGGATTCTCACTGTGATCATCGTGCTTACCGCCGGGGGTCGGTTTGGTGGTTAGTCAAGACATGACAAGCGTGAACTTGCTCATCTGCTCTAAAAACATTAATTGGTGGTTACTGTTATGCTTGATTGGTTGATTGATTGATTGATTTATTTCTTATTCCGTTGCGGCGCCGGGCTGGGCCATGCCGGAGGCTCCTAATGAGCAGCGACTGCCTGACGACCGTCCCCGCAGACTGGCGCCGTCACTGTACATATACCTATATATCTCAGGCCCCTAAACTAAGCCATACCCCCGTAGATCCATGTCGGCCGGGGCCAAAATCAGTGAGTGCTACCTTGCTTCCCTCGTAAATGCCCTTCCGCCTGCCTAGGTGCCCGTACAAGCCAATTCCACTAGATAGCCGCTGACCCATTCGGATGTCGCAGGTTCCCAGGCCAGCGAGGGTTTTGGGGACGCCGCCACCGGACAGGGCCGCGTCAAAGCTTCAGGGGGGCCCTAAACAGCATGCCGATACCATGCAGGTGCGCGAGTCGCGGCTGCAGGTGGCAACACCGCGCCAGTGGGAGTAACTAGTAGTATGTAATAGTGTGTGATTGCGGTTTGTCAGCTATTATCTGCTGAGCTGTCAGTAGCCACCGATCCACACGCTGCTGGGGGTGCTCGACTTAAGCCATGCCAGCGGGGTTGCCTCTGCCAGGTACATCTCCTGGTTGGTGCTCAACATGAGGCACGCGGTCCACTAAACATATTACTTCTCTGTTAAGGCCTCTGTCAGGTTTCAGGGACCTTCTGCACTGGCCAACACTATCTACTGAAGGTCGTTTGTATCATGTGCAGCTGAACAGCACATAGTGGATCGTCTCTGGGCCCCGGCCACACAGGCAGAGGGGGCTCGTCGGCCCAGTTAATGGTTGAGAGGTAGTGATTCAGCCCAACCTTGCCGGTGCGCATCTGGGCCGGAACACTGCGTTCCACGGGGGTGAGATTGTCGTAGATAGTGATCGAATGCTTGGTGACCTCGGCGAGGAGGTCCCGGAGGTGTCCGCCATGCGGAGACTGCCGCCTGGCCCTCCACCCATTGTTCTTTAGTGTGCTGCTTGATCCAGACAACTAGGGACCGCATATGGGGTGATCTGGCAGTATGACCGGCCGCCGGCGGCAGCGGCCCATATCAGTCGTCCGTGGCCGTAGCTCTGGGCGCCAGCCTGCTTGCGGTCCGCGAGCTCGTTGCCAGCGACTCCATGGTGCGCCGCCGACGCTGCCTGTGCTGCGGCCGTCCAGGCGTCACGTGGCACCAGATCTCGCTTGAGGGGCCGCAGGGCCAGCACCAACCCTGCAACCTCCGCCACTGGCACTGTGTGTTCGAGATCCGTCCCCAGGTATCGCTGGACGCAGATGGTTGGGGGTCCAGGCACACCGCAACGGTTCCCACGCGCCTGTGGATGCCGGACCCGTCCGTGTAGACCCGAATGGCCTCAGGGTACGCGATGCAGTGGACGTCATGGTGGACCAGGGATCGCTCCTTCGTCTCCTGAATCACCACCTCCGGTGGTTCCGACCACGGAGGTACCGCCCACGGTAGGCGAATCTCCAGGTCTCTAGGGTCAATGCCAGTTGCTAACTCAACGTCTTCTTCCGCAGCTTCCAATGGCGTGTGTAGCGGCGGATTCCGGTGATGACGGCGACGATCCAAGATGTGCATTCGGTAGGCGGGCGTGGTGGCGATTCGGATAAGCGTCTGGATACGGCGTTGTCGGAGAAGCAATGGCATTGGACTAATTCGGCGTCGAACGCGGGCCCGCTGACCGTTCGGAAGGCCCCTGTGATCAGCTTCCCGGCCCGGCGCTGGATGCGATTCAGTACCTTTGTTTGCCGACTATGGAAGCGCTTTCGGCCCCGGACTGGCGGCGTGTACTAGGCAGAGGCGGCGTAGACGGTAGAGCATGATTGGGATGATATAGGCCGTGTACACGTGCTGGAGTTCCCGCAGGCGCAGGCCCCATTTGGATCCCCGAGGACGCTGATGGCCTGGAGCCGCCGGGTGGCCGCGTTGTCGACGTGCTTGAGGTGCGCCTCAATGGTGAGGTTCTGATCGAGAATGACTCCGAGGAGCCAGGCCGTCGCGCCGGTCTCGACGACCTGCCCATCGCTGAGGTCCAGCGGTTTCCCAGGCCTTGGACGCCGGCCTGGAGAGTGGAAGTGATTGAGCTAGAACTTCGACGGTTTGAATTGAGAGGCGTGGGTGGCGGCCCAGCGGAGGCACCCGCGCTGGTAGTGCTCCCGTAGCCGTTGACAGTTGGCGCGCTCGCTGTCGCTAGTAGCGAGCATTGTCGTATTGCCAATATACCCGATATTATCAGTGCCCCATTCGGTGTCCCCCTGGTCCATTAGGCCCGCGTTGTAGAAAATGTAGAGAACTAGTGATAAGGAGGAGCCCTGCGGGATGCCAGTCTCTATTCTCTGGTTGGCATGATGTATTCAGGCAGCACAGGCGAGGTGGACCAGCAACAGAGGAAGCTGCCAAGCCAGGTGACGTTAGGCCTATGGGACCCTCTATGCGTGGAGATTGTGAAGCAGTCAATTATGGGAGACAGTTGAAGGCCCCAGAGATGTCGAGTAGGCAGCGCGGACACCAGCTTGCTATCTTTCCAGCCAGAGTGGATGGCCTCCAGGGCCGCGTGGAGGGTGTTCTCCGTCCCCTGGCCCTTACGGCCCCTGAAGTGGTTATCTGGAAGCAACCTGTGGGCCTCTGCTAGATAGCTCATCTGGGTAGTGGTCAGGGCCTCACGTAGCTTACTGAGCGTGTTGAGCAGAGCAATAGGCCTGTATGCCTCCGGAGTCGAATAGTCTGGTTTGCCTGGCTTGCGGAGGGTGACAGTAGTGGCGTCGCGGAAGTGCTCTGGGCAGTAACCAAGCCGGACGCACTGGTTGTACAGGCTGGTGAGGCTTGGAACTAGAACTTCCGCCGTAGCCTGCAGCACCTGGTTGGTGATACTGTCCAGGCCCGGAGCCTTGTCAGCTTTGACAGAGCAGAGAGTGCGGAGGACCTCATGCGCCCTGAATTCCAGCACGCTGATTGGTTTGGGGTATTCATACCCCAAGAGGTCATCCAGATTGGCCTGCGGGGGCGGCGGGAAGAACTAGTGAGCGAGGAGTTCAGTTCTCTCCCGAGCCTCGTAGGCCACCGCGCTGGTATTTGGGTCCCGAAGCATGGGGGTGTAGGCCTGGTATGGGCCTTGGTTCTTCGTCCAGCGGACAGCATGCCAAACATCATCCATATCCGCGATGTCAGTGATCTGCTGCAGAAAGGTGTTGTGTCAGCAGTGCTGGGCCGCGCGCTTGCAGGCCTGGGCTGCCCGAATCAGCCAGGCCCGCAGGGCTAAGGGGGCCTCGCAGCGGTGTTTGCTCTGATATGTTGTGATGGTTCGCTTGAGGTGCTTCTTCCCCTGAAGTAGAGCACGGCATTCTGGGGTGAAGCCGCGGCGGGAGTGCTGAGAAGGGCGGAGCCAGGACACCGCTGTGTTGATCGCGGCAGTGAGCGCGCTGACTATCTCACTGACGAACTGGTCAATGTCCACCTGATCCGCGTCAGCAGGGAGCATCGGGGGAAGGCGCGCGGTGAGGGCTGAGACCAGCTTCTGGGGGACCATGGTGGCCCAGTTTCGGCGTCGTTGTGGTGGTTCGGGCTCAAGGCTGACGTTCAATTCGGTCTTGATTGGGAGGTGGTCTGAACTGCCATCTAGGTCAGCTTCCTGAACGTGGTGGATGTGGTCTGTTAGGCCCCACGAGATGAAGGTGAGATTGATCATCGTGCCGGCGGCCCTCTCCTCTGCTGAGAGGGTCCCTGGGCTGGCGTTGTCAGGGTGGTCAAGGCTGCTGGGGTTGAGGCCGACAGTGTCCCGCGCGGCAATGGGCGTAGGCTGGGTGATGAGGCTGAGCGGGGTGACCAGCTCTAATGGCCTCTGCTTAATGATTTGCTTTAAAGCCTCTGTGCCGTCGCTGTTGTTGGGCCCGCGGAAGTCGGTGCCTACCGGCCCAGAGGGCGTCATGGATGTTGAAATCACCAACCATGTCGTGCTCCGCAGGTTCTTTGGACGCCTGTTGTTGCTGGTCTGTGGCCACCAGGGCCTGGATGAGGTCCGCCACTCCCTTATTGGCTGCAGTCTGTGGCGGGTTGTAGATGTTGTGGACCATGATCCATGGCTTACTGGGTGCCGGCTGGATGGCAGTGGAGATGACGTGCTTGGAGAGGAAGGTAACCTGCCAGCGCAAGGGTCTTCCGCTCGTATGTGCAGACACGGGGGGCCACGGCCTGGCCCTGCTACCGGCTATATGTATGGAAGTGATCAGCTGCTTCACGGGGGATGTGCGTTAGGGGAGCATCCCCATGGGTGTTGACCCAGGGCTCCTGGATGGCGACCACCGCGTAGTCACGGAGCTGGGGGTCCCGAAGGAGGGGCGCCATGCTGATATCTAGCGAATTCTGGACATTGTACTGGAGGATTTGGATGGTTTAGTCGTCTTGGGTGGCGAGAGTAGTTCGAGCTTTGGTTTTGGCTTCGCCTGGTTCTGTTTCGGCTGTATCTGGTGTGGATTTCGGGGTCCTTTGGGGTGTGGAGGAGGCTGAGCGGCTACCAGCTGTAGCTACTGGGCGCTATATGCTGGCAGCCCTCCTCTGGGCAGATGCTGCTATTACATGTGCTTGAGCCGCCCCAAGTGCTTCCCGTTTCCGCCTTCTGGTGCGCGAGGTGCCCATTGTATTCGCAGGTGTCTTCCTTACGAGTTCAGGGGCGGGTTGGGTCGAGGTGAACGGGAAGGGCGCGGTTCGGTAGGCCGACGGGGTCAGCGTTTCGGGGTTGAACGGGATCTAGTCCTTGTTAGGATAATCCCTTTCCTCTTGAACCTCCCCAACAGCCAATCGAGGAGCCTGCCCTGCCGCTGAAGAGGCCGCTCCTGAATGGCCAACTACCGGATGGACTGTTGCCGAATAACCTGCTGTTGAAGAACCTGCGGAAACTGGGGTCGCTGAGCAGCTAGATAAAAGTTGATTTCGCATCTAAGTATCCGCGAAGGATTTAATCCTTACCTCGTCTTTCTTAAAGAAACTACTGAAGGGTGCTTAGAAGGAAATCCTTCTTTACCTACAAAAAGGCTCAGTCACGACTACTGCGGATACCTGGGATATCAGGGCACTCTTAATCCTCCTTCACGTTGTTCATGCCAATACTACCCTGTACCGCGGAAGATCACCCTTAAGCTACTCGCGAAAGTTGCTGTTTTATCCAACTACTATGACTGCAGGGAGGCTCTAGACATCCTGGTGAATATATAGATAAACGCTCTGGAGGAAACTATCCCTGAATCATATTCTCGGGATCTGATTTGTGGCTATGGGTTTCGTATTTTTTCAGCTTCCTGCACAATTCCAAAGAACCATATAGTCTTCCGCTTTAAACCATATATACTTAATAGTAATTCTTTTCTTTTCCATTTCAAGTGCGCAGTAGCTGTTTCACTTTCTTTTCAGCTTACTTACAGTCCCTCACTCCCCTAGCAAAGACTCTAAAACATCAGCAGGTGTCCGTTTTGGGGCGGCAAGATCCAGCACCTCTTTGCTGGTTGTAGAAGCCGAGCATTTCCCGTCCCACGCTGTCTCGGGAGCCCGCTTGATCGAGTAGATGACGTTCTTCGATTCCTTGGTCGCCGCGTACTGGTACTCATACAGCGAGTCGATGAAAGAGACGTCTTTATAAGTAACGTCTTTTACGGGCACGCCAATGTTTTTCTCAATCATGTTGACAATCTGCTTTCCAGTTATGTCCTCAGGCCCATTTAGAATGTATTTGGCCTTGTTGTGCACGGAAGTGTCATCTTGAGACAAGAGATAAGCTGCAATAACACCAACCTCGTCAGGATCGATGATCCCGACAGGTGCATCCTCTGACAGCATCAGACGAAGGGAGTCTTGCTCTCCAGTCTTGCGATACTTTTTAATCAACTCCGCAGCGGGGGACATGATAAGTGGCGAGAAGACATTTGGCTGGAGGGACGTCCATTGCAAGTCGTTGAACTCGGGCGAGCCGAGTAGAACCTCGATCGCCCAGTGCTGGCGTGGGTAGTAGGCAGGACAGTCTGGGCGCACATTCGCAGCAGTAGTCGAGATCCGCACGACGTACTTGACACCGGCATGGAGGGCATTGAGATGGAACGTCGACTCCTCGGCAAATTGGTTAGGTGCATTGTGGGATGCAATAAAGGCTCTAGCAACATGGTGCTCCCGGAGCCAGTCAGCGGTGATCTCAACCCAGTTCTGCTCAATCACTTGAACTCCAGGGAGTTTGGCGAGCTGTTGCGCCACTGGGCTGCTGGAGGAGCGAGTCAGAGCAATGATGCGGTTCCCCTGTAGGGTGCTGCTTGATTGAAGCAACTTTGGCAGAGTCTGAGTGACAGCCCGGCCGGTATTACCAGTGGCGCCGACGATCAGGATGGAAGGAGTCATGGTCTTTGAGGTAGGAGATATATTTCACGCTGAGGTATGGACAAATATCAGGGCTGTTCTAGATACTTATAGCCGGCCTTTTGCCTTTGTCGTGAATAGTGAAGATATCATACAGAAGGCATTAATAAGAAGATAGAGGAGCGCGAGAGTGATGATTCGCCGAGTTCCGTTCTGTGGCGAAGACTTCTGGCCTGCTGCTGGCCGCCCGCCGGCATCCCACTGAGCAAACTATGACATCTACAAATGGCCGTACCATTTCCAATATTCTAAGCCACTTATTACTGTGATAAAAGTGCCGTTTATTATACACTTTCTTTACCCTTCAAGAATTTCTGCGTGAGATTTTCGATTGTGAAGCGCCTCAAAGCATGCCCCGATTCGCCACCAGTAAAGAAGCAAATGGGATGCCGGTGGGATGCCGGTGTGGGATGGCGGCGGACGCGGTGGGATGGTTCAAAAGTCAATTTGCAATGACTCAACACCCACGCGAAGCTCCGTAGAGCCGACTCTTCATTCAATTTCGAGGCATTTTCTGCGTGGAGGCCGGGGTAACTTTTCCATGGAAGGGTTTGACACTGAGGTCGAGTTCCTCCAAGGTCTCCCTGGCCCTTTCGCATACTACGCGTTTCGGTGTCAATTTCCTGGCTGCAATGCTAGATACCAGCGCAAAGAACACCTGAACCGCCACGAAAGAGCAAAACACACAAAGCAGCAGGTTTTTATTTGTTCTAGCTGTGGTCGCGAATATCAACGAAGGTATCCACGTACTATATCCACCTTCTTGCAACACTCATTTTAACGCTAGAGATGTTAAAATTAGGGACACCCTTCGACGTCACATACGAAAGCAGCACAAAATAACAGAGCCTCTAAATCGCGCGCGTCAAGCCTGTGTGAGTTGCCATGCAGGCAAGTCTCGGTGTGAAGGGGCGTACCATGCGAGGAGTGTGTTCGTCGCAACGTACAATGTTCTTTCCGAAAGCATGCTAGTATTTCGGAAGCGCATCGAATCCGATCTTCCACCCCACCCTCTCCAATCCTAAACCACAGAAAGTCACAGATATATTACGGGGAGAAGAAGAAGAAGAAGTGGATTGACCGTTATTTTGAGTTATTCCATCCGCGATGGCCTCTCATCCACAGAGGGTCATTCGATGTGCGCCAGGAAACCCCGTTACTCCTACAATCAGTGATGGCTATGGGCATGTGGACATCAGGAGAAAAATCAGCGCAGGCGGCGGCAGTGGAGCTTCATGATATACTTGACTTTGCCATTCGGGATCAAAGGGTATGTCAGATAACCAACCCATGATGTACCTGAATTACTGACCTGTAAGCTATAGCAGAAATGGGATGCCTCAGAAGTAGAGGGAGCCTGCAGCGCCTGCTTTTGGCCAATTGCCACATACCAAGCTATCCTACTACATGTTATTTTCTCTGTTATCGTGAAGGCTGACGGTGTTGTTAACCTCGACCTTAAAGCGTCTATCTCCGCTGCTGATTTAGCATTACTCAAATCGCTTGTTAGTAGCTGTCGAAAACTGGGCATGTTCTCTTATCCGAACATGCTCGCCAGGTATTGCGAAGCTGATCTACCCTCATTTGTCTGGGTCAGCATTGAGGAAGTCAAACGTTTCGGTATAGCACTTTACAAGTTTTGTGCGAAAATAAGCAGCTCTAGTACGGAAGACAGCCCTCTGCTACACGCGAGTGAACTCCAATTCCCACTACCAAGCAATGATCCCTTGTGGAATTCCTTTGGAAGAGACGAATGGGAAGTTAATGCGAAGGGGGAGAATACGATTTCCCTGCAAGATGACTTTCAAGCACAGTGGATCTCAAATTATGCAGATGTATTAGATTTTCTCGGTTTATAAACCACCACCTTATGATCAGTGATGAACAGAGCGCTGGTGAGAAGCTGGCGTGTAGGAGGCCTTCTTTCTCGGGGAGTGTGTCCTGGTAACTTGTCCAATTTACCCTTCAGGGTCATTAGCCAGCAAGCATTGAAGTCACATGTTGATAGCGTGCGTTGGAACGGGTCCTCTTATTTACCACATGCGTCCCATCTGCTTCAACTCCTTGATGTGGCCTGTTTTGGGCCATCACAGAAGCTGTACAGCCATTAGATCTAAGATCTTAATCATTGGATTATGAATACACGGTTTGTCTACGCATACACGGAGGCCAGCGGACATATTTCCAACGAAGCTCAAATTAGCACAATTGCCATGGCATACTACTATGTCTGACCCCGTAGAAACTAGACATACCCAAATCTCCCGATGTGACTCAAGATCCATAATTTCTTTCCCATACCAAAGCATCAAAGCCCCGTCAAGCTGCCGCACTGCACAAGCCTCTGTTATATCGCCCGAAGAACCTGTTTGTATCCGCTGAATCTTGTCATGCGAGGGTCGCCATCCGGTTGCATCTGGATTATAGTGGTCGTCTTCACTCGATCTGGACTAACTGACAGAGGCCGCGAACCCTTGAGATACCGCTAGGCTCAACCGCAAGGTCGACTTGGACAAATTCCTGAAGGCTTATTTGGTCTTCCAGAGGGACTGCTTCTCTGACAATATCTCCAAGATCTAGCTTTTTGGATAATCTCCCAAGGGTGGGTTTCTTATTTCAGACAGTGAATTCGTATGGTCTGGAGAATTAGGATACGTATTGAAGAACAGGGCAGACATCCCAGCTCTAGACAATTCGGACGAAGGACCGACAGTTGATTTTCAATTCCAGCTAGCCGCTTGACGATACTGAGCACCCAACGGACGTTCAGTAGACGCGAAACCTGGGCAGCGGAGCCGATGATCTGCTTGTTGGATATGGTCGGTAACGGAGCCCATAAGCAAAGATGATGAATACGGTCTGAATTTACATTGTTTTGATTATTCTTGCTGCAATTGATTTGAGATGATTCTTCTTGGCTATCAGTACTGTATTGAAATCTCAGTCAAGCGTCACAGCAAGTGGATGAGGACATTTCAAGCCGCGCTTATCATTCTCAGTACGCCCTTCCTCGGCTGCACTTCCAGCATCGAACTTGCAACGCCTGCATGGCCATTGTTGGCCCACAGTGGTGACAATCGGCTAATATCGGGCATGCGATATATGATTCGGGCAAGTCTTTCATAAGTGATGAAACTTCGGATGTAATATCCTCATAGATCTTAGAATACAAGCTGTCATGCAGCGTTCTCAAGGCTTCTTCGGGCAAATTGTAGAACAGAGACCCTTAGCGTCTGAATTGGTGGGGAGGTTAAATGGTGAACATCCAGGATAGACTTTAAAAATTCAACAACGTTGAAGTCTTTCTCAAGCCTGGAGAAGTACTTCTCTGCTGATAGACCACACAAGCCTTTCACATCGTGCTTGTCGGCTAGTGCAAAGACTCTTGCATGAAGTTGCAGCGTAGACATATCTGAGTATGCGCTATCGTCCTCTTCCGATATCCCCGTATAATCTCCAGTGTAGAAATATTGCAAAGTTTGTCAACAATATACCTCGAGCCATCTACTATCTCATAAATTCCTCACCGTGCTTTTTACTATAATTTAGAGCGTATAAGTTTATTCTAGTCAAATTACCTGCATCGAAACCCCTGGTACAGGCAGCGCGTATGACCGGTGACTGTGAGCAGACAGCTGCTTTATGTACCGGGAATGTGGCCCCATTGCAAATGATGGTAAGGTCAGAAAGCTCCTCTAGTTCTCGGATTCTGGGAGCCAGGAACAGCTATACGATTCCCCAAGATGTATCCAGCTTACTTGGTAAGGACATCCAATGCCCGTCGGCCGCGTGTTGAAGATGGTCTCAGCTCTACTGTGTGCTGGGACATATTGAGGACTCCTGGAAATGGTATGCTCTATGGAAGCGAGGCTGGGAGAGTTTATCTACACTGAAGAAGCGGGGAGAGGGCGCCGTCTGCTGAATAGACCTGGGGTACGGGCAGTACATAATCCTAGAGCACAGAGGAGTGGTTCCCGCCAAGCTTCCCGCATCAGAGAGATCGACTCTTTGTGGATCGACCTTTTGCACTTGAAAACAACAGCAGTAAATAGCGTGATGATCATCCAACGCCTCTGCAATCGGCATAGAAGGGGTATTCGACAGTGTTGAAGCTGCTGTTTGAGGCAGGAAAGGTGTACGTGGACTTCCGAGGTCTCCTGGTGGTGCACGCGCCTGGCAGGCATGTGACTTTCACTTACCATGTAAAATCACCTGACTTGCACAGATACCCCTAGTTCCAAAGCATCGAATAATCCGATGCCCTTCCCGACAGTGCTCAACTCCATGGCGGATCATCTCCACCCGGAACTGTTGCTGAGTCTCCGTTGCCTGCTCCTCCAGGAGATCGAAAGGCTACTTTCCGCGTATCCTCTGTCGTCAATGTTTTGCGGTCAAATGAAAAGCGGTGTGGCGTAAAGTCTTGGGGGTTCCACTAATAAACAAATGTTGTAGGGAAATCCATCACACCACTAACACCGGGAATGTGTTGTTACTTGTTAAGTCTAGTATATCTGACGGAGTTGGAACCCCAGGTAATTTAATTGTCTCGTATTGAGCGGACCTTTTGCGCTTGGCGCACAACGCAAACCTCAGCGTCAGCTGCCCTGGATAAATCACGGATGGTCGGCGACGCGCTTTCCCAGCTTTTATCGACACAGAGAGGTTACGCTAAGAAATCTCCGCGACTAATTGCATTGAGCCTCGTTCTCTCATGCCTTCCCTGCTGGACGCTGCTCGCTTCCTTATTTTCAGGGTCCCTCTGGTCCTCAAAACTGCCCTTTTCCACGTCTTGAAACTGAATCCGACATCTACTAAATGGGATCTCCGCACGGCGCTCACCGTGACCATTATTCGTAATGTATTGTGCAACTCGCCTCCCTCCACCATATCAATGCAGCAGCGCAGTACGATTCAGGATCCGGGCGTGAAAGGCCGTATGTGGGTTAGTAGAGCGACCATCCCCGCTCCCCCGAGGGTGCAATTCGAGACGTATTGTCCCAAGCCATCCGGGCAATTGGTACTGGAGACGAGGAGTATCTGACGCCGGCTCTTGCGCCCGTCACGGCTGAATGGACGGGATACCGCGCGAGTGTTCCGCACAACGCTCCAGAGCCGTCTATCTCCGAGGCTGACAAGTACAAGTGCTTGATGGAGGAGACTACTACCGATGTTACTCTGTTATATTTTCACGGCGGCTCGTACTATCTCATGGACCCCTGCTCGCACAGAGAAGTCGTCGCCAGTTACGCTCAGCTCACCGGAGGCCGAGTGCTCTCGGTTCGCTACCGCCTTGCTCCGCAGAATCCTTTCCCGTCTGCATTACTAGATGCTCTGGTTGTCTACCTGTCGCTGCTCTATCCCCCGGAAGGCGCTCTCCACAGCCCGGTGCCACCGTCACATGTTGTATTCGGCGGTGATTCCGCCGGTGGAAACCTTGCAACAGTCCTCCTGCAGACAATTCTTCAGCTCCACCGGGGTACACCTGATGGCGATCCTCCCGTCGTGATATTCCATGGAAAGCCAGTCAAGGTGCCTCTACCAGCCGGAATCGCTCTAGGCTCGCCCTCTCTCGACCTCACGCGCAGTATGCAGTCGTCCAAAAAACATGCTCAGTATGACTATCTCCCGCCACCTTCGATCAACCCGGCCAATTCTCCCCTTGTGATATTTGGCCCGCGAATCCACCCCGGGCTGATCTTTTCTGCGAAGGAAGTGCCCTTTGTCACCCTCTTGTCTCCCCAGTTGCAGCACCCTCGTGGAGAGGGTCGCCTCCCATCTTCGTCTCCTGTGGTGAGGAGCTACTGACGGACGAGTGCAAAGTTTTTGCGCAGATGGCCGCGAGACAGGGGGTTACTGTCGTCTGGGAACAGTATGAGGCTATGCCGCATTGCTTTGCGCATATACTCCAGGGGACTTTGACCTCTTCGCAGAGCCTTGAAAGCTACGCCAGTTTCGTGACGCGAGCTGTGCAGAATCCCAGTGAGATTACTACAAATGGGAAGTTCTTTGCTGCCAAATCTCTAGAGAGTTCTTCCGTAGATGTTTGCAACCTCAACGATACTACTGAGGAGGAAGTTCTGGAAGGGTTGAAGCATGCTCGGGATAAGATTGTGCGCAATTTTCAGCTCGCTAAGCAGTAGACTGTGGTTTTTTCTCGCGACGCGGCTGAACGAGAGCTTCATGCGTACCCTTTACTATCAAATTTCAATGTCAGAATCCCACTTTACAAGATGAAGTCCTAGCCTCACAAGATAGCTACAAACTAAACACAGACATCTCCTTCCCCAACTCCCACGCCTATCCCTCCCAGAAGCACCCCTTCAATCGGATATTCAGGCAGAACTCCCTCATTCCCCCAAAAAGCCATCCAGTGACCCTCATACTCTCCCAACTCTTATCATGGCCCTCAGCAAAAGAGGCCACACGATGGAGCTTTAAATCCTTATTACTATTTGCGCATGAAGCGCGTGGATATCCAACGTAAGTGACAAGGAGAGGTTCAAGACAAGGGGATAGTTAATCAGAAATATATACTAACTACAGAATAAATTGCTAAAGCCGATGGCCTCACTAAGCCTCTTACATAAGACTGATTTAGATGGTTCTGATGAGGGCTAGGCATTAATAAGGCACACAGCTCACTGATCTTAAACTGGCAGCCACGCAGGCACCCTTTCCTTTATTTTCCCTTAAAGGTTTTAAAGTTCTTAACAGGGCCTTGCCAGCACTGTGATAGGTGGTTGCTGGCACTCTTTGACAAATAATAAATATAGCCATCAAGTGGCAGTGTTGAATATCATGGGTGACTGGGCTATTCCGATTCGTTCTCGTTGTAAGCTCGTGCCACTCCATCGTCCACAGCATAGACGTATCCCTGGGGTACTGATCTCAACTTGCTCATGGCCTCGAAAGCACTAATGCCCTCCTGAGCGACTACCTCAGGAGCTGCGAGTGACGATGCTGCCATCAGGGCCAGCACTGCCAGTGCAAATGAACGCATGACTGAGAGACAGGAATTCGTTTAAGTTTGTTTTTGTATAAGTTTCTTGGATTGAGCTTGAGAAGTCAGTGTTTATTTTAGCTCTGGAGAAGACAACCACATCTCCTGGCATGTCAATCAAAGTATTTATACCCATATTAGCCATAAGCTATGCCTGGACTCGCGCAGATGACTAAGACTCTCAGGAGGGTAAAATACTAAATCTGACACTACAGAGAATAGAGATCACCTCTGGAGGTAGCTGATCCCAAGGCTGACTTGTGCTTAATGTCCATGCTGTCAAGCCGTTGGAGGTGGAAGGTTGGGAAATACTGGTGAGGGGTATGATTATCTGTGGACTAGCGCAATGCCACGGTCTCTAACTATTCCGAAATACTACTTTTCTATTCCTGGATCATCTGGGTACATCGACCAGGACTGCCATGCTGTATGACTCATTCTATGCACGTCGCTATATTAAGCACTTTTAGCCCCGACCACGCTCAAGCGCCTTCTCCAACTCGACCATCAACTTCGGAAACCACTATGAATGACACGAACATGGCAAGTGGCACAGCACAAAACGTCTACGATGATTCCACCTTCTTCAACGAATACGGTAAACTCCCTCGATCCCAGCAGGGTCTCGCAGGCGCTCCGGAATGGTCTGCGCTTCGCCAAATGACCAGCACAATCTTCGAGACCATCGCGTTCTGGATCTCGGCTGCGGGTACGGAAGCTTCTGACGATGGCCACGAGAGCAAGGCGCGTCATATATTCGAGGCGTTGATGTAGCAGACAAGATGATTGCAAAAGCACGGGAAATGACGATACAACCAGCCTCCGCTGGAAGATTCGCTTACGAGATCCAGGACCTGGAAAGTATCGTCCTTGAGTCTGCCGCATATGATCTCGTATTCAGTTCCTTGGCATTATACTACATTGAGGATCTGGACAGGCTATTCAGACAGATTTACGCATGCCTTAATCCAGAAGGCGGGAGGTTGGTCTTCTCGGTTGAACATCCAGTTATGACCGCGCCGGTTGATCCGCCTGCTGAATGGATAAAGGTAGAGAGTGGTGGCCTCCAGAGGACTGTATGGCCGCTGAATTCATACAGCGACGAGGGGGTGCGACTGACGGACTGGTTGGTCTGTGGGAAGTGAAGAAGTATCATCGTATGACAGATACGTACGTCACGCTACTGCTACAGTGCAGATTTGAATTGACGGGGTTGAGAGAGGGAGTGTCTTCTATGGACGATGTAGCAAGCCATCTTGAATGGGAGAGGAAGCGCCATCGTCCGAACTTCCTTCTTGTCAGTGCTAAGGTCGCGCCGAAGGCATGATAGCATAATTGCGAACGCATTATATCATATGTTCTCATTCTTTTGTGTCATTCTAGTCTTCATGGGATTCCAAAATATATCACACCGCTATTTGATAGGAGGAGTTCCCATGGCAAGCCCCGAATCTGCATCAAAATTAGTATACTTAGACAGCGCACAAGAGAGAGAACCTACCAACTACAATCTGTGTCCACTCATGGCTGTATTCTTTGCCAATTCACATTCGCGCAATCTTCCAGGTCGGTCTGATAGAAAGTTAGCAAACAGACCAGGACACCGAGGACAAGAGCATCACCTCATGCTTTAAGATGGCCTTTTGATTGAGCCACTCAATCGCCGTCTCGCCGTACTTTTTACCCTAATCATCTTCTTAATGCCGGAAGAATATTTGAATGGCAACAGAGAGGACTCACCCAATCGGTCAACAACAGCCCCGGTACAACAGCATTGACGCAGATTTTTGATCCCACGGGCAAAGCAAGATGCTTCATTAGGTGTAAAGCGGCGGCTTCAGTCACTGAGTAACCCATGCTGCTTCCGTCTGGAGTGATGCCCTAATTATTATATATGAGATATGGGTTTCACGTCCCTCAAGTGGGAGAACGTTCCGCGATTGATGAAGTCGTTATATAAACACCACGGCCCGCATTCTCCTCTTAAAGTGATTCCAGAAATTAAACTGAGCCCCTGGAGAACAATAGACCTGGTAGGGTACTCTTTAGCTAATCAACTGGCGAGGTCTTCTGCAACCTCAGGGCTCGAGTGGTAGTTAATGGCTACATTGCACCCCTCAGCTGCGAATCTCTGGCACATCACGGCGTCCAAACCCCGTGGTCCGGATGTTAGCTTGGAAGGGAAAGGAGACATAAGAATGTTTCCTCAAGCCTGCCGCGACGAGCATATTCCTCCCCTTGAGACTGTATGACCTTGCGTTTTGAGTTGCAATGGGAGGTGGATGATGGTTGAAGTAAGAGTGACTCGGTCGATGACAGCCAAATGTCGAACTGATGCGGGGTAGATTTGGCCTCTCTCATCTGCATGCCCCTTCTACCGCCAGAGGTTCCTCGAGGCGCCAAGTACCCAAAACAAGCGGACAAAGCGTTTGCTATGCTGATTGAAGTTATTGTGACTTTAGTTCTACGTAGCTGAAACTGGTGTCTCATTCACAGTGGACTGAGGGAGTCGACTCTTTGACCAAGAAACGAATGAAAGCTTATGCTTGATGGCCCTAAAGGAAACACACTCTGATTTATGAGAGCTGAAGGCAACTGAGAGCACAGACCCGAGTACTCAATTCGTCTGCATTTTGCGTATACAAAATCATAGATTCATATTATCCAGAAAAGCCAAAAGCAGCTTGCGCGCCTCCTCCATCCCCCTTACACTCGCCAACCTCTTCTTTTCGTAACTCGGGATAGTACTCGATTTCTTCCGAGTAGCAGCCAAGGCCTCTTCTGTGTTTTCCAAGGCATCGCGTATGATATCTTGCATTACTTCAAGACCTGGCCTGAGCAACTGTCTCACAACCCCTGTATGTCCCGACTCCGCTGCCAATGCCAGCGCTGTGCTGTTCCTGTGATTTCTGTGCCAGACATCTGTATTTACTACCTCTAATAGCATACTCACAACCAAGCTTTCTCCAGCTTCAGCAGCAAGAAGTAACGGGGTGTTTCCATAGTTATCCACAGGAAATAAATCCACATCGTCGCGCAACAGAAGGAGCTTCACCATATCAGCTTGCCCATTATAAGCTGCAAATGCGAGGGGCGTCCTGGCAAACAAATCTCGAGAGTTGACAATAATATCTGGTTGGGCTAGTAACGCCTTCACGATCTCTAGATCCAAGCGTTCTTGGTCGGCTGCGCAGTGGAGTGGTGACTGACAGTTGTAATCTTCAATTGTGGTCAGGTTGATGTCTATGCCAGGATGCTCTAGGAGAGCTCTGACTTTCCCAAGATCCCCTGACTGGATGGCGCAATGTATAGCTGTCCTACCGTCAAAATCTTAATAATTGATGGGGATGATGTTGAGAGAAAGCAGGTATCGAACCACTTCTTCACTTCCTTCTTCAGCGGCACGGAGCAAAGCTGTCTCATGGTTGGCGTACTCATAGTCTTCCAGAGTGTCGGGAATTGCCTCGATTATCATCCTCACAATACTGACCTTTCCGCCAATCAGCGCGCGTCGAAAGACCGTGCATACCTCTCTGTCAATCTTCGGATGATGGAAGAGTCTGTAGAAGACATCTTCCTTGCCCATCACCGCAGTCACGGCTAATGGAGTCACCTCAATAACCTCTGCGTCCCCGTCCGCGAGATCGACGTCGATTTCTTCCCTCTGTAACAGCTCCTTCACCACATCGTCAAACCCTCTTGCCGCGGCCCAGATCAGTGGCGCTCTCCCCAGACGATCCTGTAAATTCACGTCCACCTCTTCCGTCATCACGAGCACCCTCACAACCTCCGCGTGTCCTCCCCCGGCAGCCCAAAGAAGCGGCGTGTGCCCAGCGTTGTTCACCACATCAGCCTCCACTCCCATCCCTAGAAGATACTCGACAAGGGCTACATGCCCTGCCAAGGCAGCGAAATGCAGCGCGGTATCCCCATTTCCGACAGTTCGTGCATTCCCCTCAACTCCCCTTTTGAGCAGAAACCGTACGATGTCCACCTGTCCGCCGAAAGCAGCCGCCATAAGCGGCAAATGGAGCCATTTTTCCTTATTGGCAGTATTCTGTATACACCACGCAAGCAATGCCTCCATATCATCGATTCTGCCCAAATATGCAGCCGCCATCAACGCCGCTCTCTTTCCCCCTCTTTCTCGGAGTCCAGGCCATCTAGATTCACAGTCCCTCTTCCAGCCCTCGTCTGAGCCCGAAGGTCATCGATCAAATTAATCGCCGTCAGTCCGACAAACATCGATATCATTCCCTTTAGATAGGTCATTTGGAGAACCTCGGGTTCCATTTGGCTCCTCCGCGAGAAAAGCTTAACAACCTCATCCACCCCCGCATTGATAGTGTTGATGAGTGGGTGGACACTTCTCGTCGCTGACCCTTGAAGGCCACGATTTCGACACCCAGCCGACCACAGTAATCGTCTTCCCATTGCCATCGTCGAGCAGGTCGGCGGCCCGCGGCGAATAGGAAGGTCGCTACGGATGAGTCCGGCTCTAATTGCTGCAAGGAAATGGTCGATCACGATATCGTCGAATTGCTCTGTAGGGTTAATAGGCCATCCTGGGTCGCTTAATAAGGACTAAGGGACGTACTATTGACGAGGCGTAAGTTCAAAAACCAAATTAGATCTGAGCGGGCGAACATCCGCTCTTTCCTATCTTTCCAGCGCCAGCCCCATCGCCAGCTGGGAGTCATGCGGCCAAGAATATGATGGAGGATCTCCGGTGGAAGGACGCACATTTGAATACTTGGATGAATGTAGAATTGGTATTTTATTAGAAGAACTGGCAGATGAATTTTTCTCACTTGGCAGGAAGCACTAACGCAAGGATGAGCCGTATTCATTGACTCATGGTTTATTGGCAGGTCGAAGGCTCCGACGCGACACTGCATTCAATCTGTCAACCATAATCCACTCAGGTAAAAGGTGCCTTGACACCCAATCCGTGATGGTGGCGGTGACGATAGTAGAGGATGGTTGATAGTCGAGCGTTGGCACAGACGAGAAGATATGACCAGATGGTGCGTGGAGCCACAAGAAGAGGGGTGTCAGAGAAGAACATGGATTTGGTTCAAAACGGGACAAGAACGTACTGATCTAGTGACTCAATACAGTCAAGGCCAAAGCAAGTATTCAATAGCATTATCTTCTATCATAGCCGTCATCACATACATGTCTCCTATATTAATAATGAAACCACAAGTTTTGCATGAGGGATATCCGATCCGCCAATTAGACACACGATGTGAATTGCAAAGCTTTAGATTCAAGTCGCCAAGCTTTAGGAGTCTTTATAGTAGTAAATGACTGGCATAAAAGAATGGGACGGTGAGACAGGGAGTCTTGGGTTCCATTCTCTTCGGGTCTTCAAGTATCAGCCGGATATTAAGGAGAAAATAAGTATTGATAAGGTGTGATGATCGGCGATTTACTCGATGAGCATTCTTTTTCTTGACTCACTGCGGAGTACTTATATCACTTCTCTTACAACTCTTTAGTAAACGACTCCACTCGGTTTCACTAAATCCAGGGTCTGAAACTAGATACGGGGCGGCCGATAGATCCTGCGCAGGATCAACGAACATTGTCGGTACGTGATTTATGTCAACACCATAGCAATACGACCTGAATAATAAGCAGGATGGACCCTGCAGATCAGACTAGACGCAGATTCCTCCATCTTACATCCGGACGCCGCAGGTCGACCTCTTCTTCATATCCAGGCCTGCCAACCCTCTTGGTGTTTCCAATGCCAACATATGTCTTGCAGACAAGAATCAACATAGCCTCAGTAATATACGAGCATGTTGGCTGGTGGGGACCATGGCAGGGATTGACTGGACTCTTGCACTCAACCACTTAAAGACGGCCGGCGGGCCAAGCCAAGCCTACCCCTTCGGCATTCATCTGGATCGTAGCGATGCTTCACTAAGCCTTGTGGAGTGACTACGCCGGTTGGTAAAACACCATGGAGATATCTTCAGACAACCGATGTCTTACCTCTCAAGTCAAGCCTTGCAGACGGGATACGATGTAACCTCCTGTTTTGGTTATTCTCCGCGTTCAATTGCCAGGTTTTGTCCGTGATATCGACTGTCTCAGTGCTAGGATGTCTATAAATATGAGGATGACACAGCGTGCCTGGCAGTATCAGCATCAGCATCACAAGAGCAAGTGCGCAAGTGCAAGAGCAATAGCAATCTTCATCCAATCCTTCATCATGAAACTCACTGCTCTCGCTTCCGCCATTCTGGCCATTGTCCATGGCGCTCTGGCTCTTCCTGCCAAAGCCCCAGCTCTGGATATCACGCTGAGCCAGGTCAACAACACCCGGATCAAGGCTGTGGTCAGGAACACCGGCAGTGAGAAAATCACATTTGTACACCTCAACTTCTTCAATGATTCTGGCCCTGTCAAGAAGGTTTCCCTTTACCGCAATGGTATCTCTCTACCTTCCCCGAAAATCTCCCTGTCGGCGAGGAAACATCACTAACCTGAGTCCAAGCCACCGAGGTTGAGTTCACCGGAATCAAGCTGCGGCTCCGCAGTGATGGTCTCTCCAATGAGGCCCTGACTACCCTCGCACCCGGCGCCACCTACGAGGACGAGTTTGACATCGCCAGCACCGCCAATCTCACCCATGGCGGTCCCATCACCGTGCGCACCCAGGGCTTCGTCCCCATGACCATGAACAACAAGATCGCCGGCTACATCCCTTATTCCTCGAACGAGCTGGAGCTCGAGGTCGATGCTGTAAAGGCCGCCGCTGTGCACGCGAGCATCAAACCCCTCGATCGCCGCACAAAGATCACCTCATCCTGCACTGGCAACCGTGCTGCAGTCCTTAACACAGCCCTTCGTAACGCCGCCTCAATCGCCAGCAAAGCCGCCAATGCCGCCTCGTCGGGCTCCTCCGCGCTCTTCGCTGAGTACTTTAAGTCAACCTCCGGCAACATCCGCAGCACCGTCGCCGCGCGCCTCAAAGCCGTCGCCAGCGAGGCCTCGTCGAACGGGGGTGGTTCAACCACCTACTACTGCTCCGACCCCTACGGCTACTGCGACTCCAACGTCCTCGCCTACACCCTCCCCTCGACCAACGAGGTCATTAACTGCGAGCTCTTCTACACCCTCCAAGGAGTGACAAATGACTGCCACGGCCAGGACCAGGCTACCACCATCATCCATGAGTTCACCCATGCCCCTGGTGTGTACCCGCCTGGCACGGAGGATCTGGGCTATGGATACAGCGCTGCTACGGCGTTGAGTGCTAACAATGCGCTGAACAATGCGGATTCGTATGCACTGTTTGCTAACGGTACTTCCTCCTTTTGGGTTTTGACTGCCTTTAGCTAACATCAACTAGCCGTATACCTCAACTGCCAGGGGCAGACAGGGGGACAGACAATGTGGGATGGCAATTACCAACCAGAACAGACAGAGCCAGAAGGGCAGACAATGTGGGACGGCAATTACCAGCCAGGACAGACAGAGTCAGAGACGCAGACAATGTGGGATGGCAATTACCAGCCAGGACAGACAGAGTCAGAGACGCAGACAATGTGGGATGGCAATTACCAGCCAGGACAGACAGAGTCAGAGACGCAGACAATGTGGGATGGCAATTCTCAGGCAGAACAGACAGAGCCAGATGCACAGACAATGCGGGGTGGCTTTGATCAAGCATGAATAGCATTCAGTCTGGTACATCAATCACTCTCATATTCCTCAAAACCATGCAATCGTAAGCATAAACATAACATAGAATGCCAGACGCGTAACCAATCAGACCCTGTGACAAATTCCCCCACACACTTACTACTACTACCTGCAAGCTTAACCATGAGCATGCTATCCATTTCCACCGTAGTAAATTGTATACTGGCTTTTACAACATCACTGCGCATAGAAACAGTATGTACCTAGGCATAATCTTAAATGTGTAGTTACGGGCTAATAGCAAGAATAGCCTTAGTTATTATGTAACAGTAAATCTGCCAATGCAAATGTTAATGGGTTCCATGTTAAGATAATCATGTCCTTCCTAGATGGATATCGCTTCTAATATATATACCTAGAACTTACAGGGAGTCCAGTCACCACAGAACTACTCAACCACTGATCACCCATGCTTACCTACGCTGCTGGATAGCATTGCTCAGCTTACCTTTACTCATCCTCACTCGCCCGCACTCACCCTGCGGTTTAGTGTCTCTCACCCATTAAGCAGCAGGCCTTCAAGGGCGCATATAACTTCTGGTCGCATTGATAATACTGGCTTAAGTACGGCGGAGCGGACGGGAAGTCCTGTTTTCCACTCCCTATGGTCGTATGTGCTAGATTGACGGCGAACACAATGTAGAGCGTGTAGTATCAACTATTGCCAATGAGCTGCCGATTTGTTGCTCGCGCACTTCATGGAGTCGCAGCCGTGGCATGAATTTTTATCTTCTCACGCGCTTGATTTTCCTTCCGACGCGTAGTCTCTCTTTTAAGACACTCCAACTACCAGAAAGCATCTCCGATGGCGCAGACACGGTAATGGATTGCTCACAGATTGAACCTCTCAATTAACCGACGAGCCTGCTCGCATCATGTGATTTATGCTTATCGCCTTACCGCCTCACACCTTATCATCTTATCGCTAGACTGCAGCAATTTCGTGTTGCTCTGATCGCTCCGTCTGCCTTGATATTCCATCGATCAACAACCAGGAAAGTATGAACCTCCAGAGTCTTCCGGCGGAGGTTACCCTCCAAATCTTCCGATTGTTGGATAACATCGACGATGCGCTCCGTCTGGGACGTTCCTGTCGTCAACTGTATCGTATCCTAGACCGTCCAGGTCATCGGCACACGATAATGAAGTCGATTATTGTAGGGCTTAAGTCTCATAAACACAGGTCCCTAATAAACGATTAACTCGTCATAGCAACGCTCAGAGTATCACAAACACGACCTCCAGCTCTCCCAACTGACGCAATTCCATGCGGAATGCACAGAAATCTACGCTACACAACCCCGGCTGCCAATGTCCCGCCGACCGGACACGGACATGGTCAGGTCGTTTCATGAGCCATCGACAGACCTCCTCGCGTCGCCGCTGGCCGTGGCGGAAATCGTCACCAGGTGGCATGCAATGAAGGTGTTGTTTGATCTCTACTGCAAAATGTCCGTTCGCTCGTCGTATCTGGCCGACTGGGAAACGTCATGGAACTGCTCTCCAGAAATCGCCGGGGAAAATGAAACCGCCAGCCCATTTACTAAAGGTATTTGCAATTCTTTTGCGCAACTCCCGCTGCAAGAGAAGCAGCGGGCCTACGAGCGATTTTACCGTGCTCTCACGGCCCATTGGGTCGCCGTGGAGTTGACCTGGGTGATCCGGGTCTCCAAGCACAAAACGGAGAGAGAGTTCAACCGGTGGGAAAGGAGAGTCTACGATCGATGGTCCAACAACCCAGGACGCTCCCTCGAGGAGAAGCTGGACATCTTTGAAGTTCTGGACTTTGTATGGTACTTCCTGGTGAGCCAGATATTTGACCACTCGGGAACTGTTGCCGACTGGATCGAGGTGACGCCGGAGTCTGCTACGCCGCACGGCTTTTCTCCTCTCGATATATACGTTTCGCACATGGGGGGCTTAAGACATCCCTCCCGATTGCAACTAGATTTTCACGAAGCGCTCGAAGACGACTGCACGGGCATGTTTATAGACGATCTGCGATCCATCATCCGTCCACCTCATGTGATCGAACTTCTGCTCCGATTAGCCTGGGATCCAAAATCCCAGTCTGGCTTTGACCGGCCGCAATATGTGCGCAAGCTGGGCGTCTTGGACCAGACTTACCAGTGGCAACAAACAAAGGCAGACGGGTTTCGGACATACCATGTTACCTTGTATGACATTGATCTCCCGGATAGAGATATTCTGTCGAGCCTGACAGCTACTGCATTTCGTGCAAAAGCCGAGGAATTGTGGCACCTAACCACAGTTGGGTATACCGACAGCGCAATTAACGAGATGCAATTGGAGTTATGCAGGGAACAATGGGAATGTTACAAGGAGGATCCCTGGGATACCGAGATGAGAGGAGAGATTTTCTTCCGCCAAGAGACACAGATCCAACTATTTGAGCGCATAATCGACCTTGAGGGGTAACTGTTAGCCATTCGATCGAGGTCCTGATTATGACTTTCATTTTACTCACCCGTAAGCTTCAATTGTATGGCGGTGCATTCGGACAGGACTTCCCGCCCCCATTATACTCGACCACAATCATGTTGGAGGGCTGCAGTCATTCCATCCGACGATCTCAACCGAAAAAAAAAATGACGGAGTATGGACGAGTGCAGGATGTGGGAACGACCTGTTCTAGAGATCACCGATGGGAATTCGTGGAAAGGACGGGCTGACGGATGCGAGCCTGTATCAAGACGGAGATTAGCAAACAGCATATAAGAGAGGGAAAGGATAGGCCACTGTGATGATTGGATTAAGAAGGATCTAAATTTGACCAGTGCCTGATTGCAGATTTGTAGGATTCCCCAGAGGCTCAGTGGGCAGGATGCAAACCTGAAGGAAACCAGGAACACCCAGAAGAGTAGAGGTTGCCGAAGCTCATCACATGCCGTAGAGACGTGAGAAGCGAAGGGGCTTGGGCCATATAATGATGGAGAAATCTCAAGGTGTAGCACTGCACGACACAGGAGATATGGCAAAGACACATTGGCGAAGAGGTGAGAATCCCACGCAGATGATCATAGTGAATAAGAAGACGGAGAGGAGAGGGGGAATGAAAAGCTGCCAAGTGCCAGCGGAGGGTTGAAGTTTGTCCTCGGCGACAGATTGATGGCAGGAAAAGAATAGTCACCAAGTCACCAAGAAGGAAAATGCACAGCTTGGTCATGATCCATCCACTCCAGCTACGGTCCACCAGGCTTGGGATACTTCAGCACATACAACATGGTGATCGGCGACTCAATTTGTGGAATCCAGATGTCGCTCTCGATCGCCATCAAACCGCTCTGGGATGGCCATTGCCTCGTCGGCTGCCTCGACCGCGGAAGATGTCTTCCAACCCGATTGGCCTCGAAGACAAGTTGGCGAACAACATCAGGCCATACCGACTTTTGCAAGGTATATTTGGAAATCGAGGAGGTTGGGAATCAATAGTCTGTATCAGATACCGCGGAATCAGCCATGGGAAGGGCCTAATGGCGAGGAGAAGTCTGGTAATCCTGAAACTGATAACCAGAGAGGTGACGGAACGCGCTTAAACGCGTCGCGTGCGCGCTTGGTAAAATACAGTTTTGCTGCAGATCAGCTTGAATCAATGAAAGATCGGGCGAATGATCGAAGAAGAAGGATTCAGGGATTGTGCGACATTATCTCGTGGGATAGATGATAGATCTGTCAAAACGGGTGGGGTTCTTTGAGGAAGCAGGAGTTGCAGGACTAGGGGAGATGATCCTGCGGGAAAAGACTGTTCATGCCGTCGTTTGTCTTGGAATCTTAGAGCAAGCTAGCTTCTACAATTACTGCAGTGCTTAGAGGTTTAAGATGCTTTTGCAGCGAACAATCAACCCTTCAATCAGTACCTTTTTTCAATCCGACGTCTTTTTTAGTTGAACGGGGTCGCCAACAGGCAATTCCATGTGCACCTTCGCCTTGCACGATCCTTGTCAGGGGACGGAGGCTGGAGCTCACTCCGGGAGAAACACGAGATATGTCAACTTCTGTAGCGTCCGGGGAACGTCTGGACTTCCGCCGCCAAATGGGTCCCTCGCTGGTCTTTCCACAATCAGTGTCCCTTGGCTCGTTTTCAATGATGCACGAAGATGGATCGCTGTGAGTCTCGTCCCAACCCATGTAGATTCGTTTAAGTCTCGAGTTAACAGCAGGGAGTCAGTCGAGGACACCCTTAGGTGACTACGGATTACTGTTCACGAACTCGGAAGCGTAGGAACACAAGCTGCAGGTTGCACAGGCTTTTGTTCCTGAATTCTCCTGTCATCGGCCCGAGCCGTTCGGCTGTCTGTGGGATTGTCTTCTCAGTGTCCACACTCCGCAGGCCAAATTGCCGACTCGAAAACACATTCGTACGAAGCGTAGTCGATCGGAGCTTCAGTTGGAGATGCGGCTACAGTCAGTAGCAAGTGAAACCGCCGGGGTCTCTGTCCAAGGAATACAGTCGGGCTGGTGTGGGTGCAAAAAGCAACGAGCAGTGGGTCCATAGTAGGCAATTCAGTTAGTGGCATGTCGAGAGAATTTTACCATGAGCAGGGGTAAAGCCTTTGATGTGATAATTTCAGACTCCAACTGTGTCGCGTCGGGAGTCTGATCATTGGCCTATTCGTCCGGCTTGAAACTCGATCACGCGCGCTGCAGTACAAAGCACGCTCCATCAATGATGGTCGGCAATTTCCCCAAAAGATCACAAACTGAAGAGTGCAGGGGCGGTAATTTGCCAGCCCGTATTCCGTCCAAACTCCAAACAGCAAAAATCGAACGAAAAATGATCAGGCTTGTTTCGCTGTGCCAGCTTCCCGCCATCCACACGCAAATGTGACAGAGCAATTTTACCAGGATGAGAGCACTAGCAGGCCCTTTCCCTCAGTTTGTGATGTTGGATCCTTCAGATCAACTTCCTGATCTTTTGTAGACCTCCTCCTCGCGCAAGGTTAAATAGTCCCGTTCTGCCCCCTCGAAATCGACTTCTTAATTTCCAACCCAAGCATTCTCTGCAACTGTCTTAGGCCTCGTCCCCTACTGCGCTCGCTTACTCTTCGACTGCCTCTGCTCTCTACCCGGATTCTCATCTTCACTCGACGAATTCGTCCTTTTCCCTTTTGCTTCTTCGCAAAAATGACTGCCGTTCGCAGGCGTAGTAAGAAGCACCGTGACACGGCCCTAACGAAAGCGCGCAAAGGTAAGAAAAAGGAGGCAGACCAATGTGCAATCGAGTTGCTTGACATAACCCGTGACTTCAAAAAGGACTGGTCGACGGACACGCGTGGGAGGCCAGTCAAAGCACCTATCAAAGATTCTCATCATATATCAGCGGCGCTGCTGCACGAGCGGGGAGAGAAGCTTTCCGAGGCTGACTCCTGTTCGCGCTGCAGACGTGGTAAAGGCGTGTGGCAGTCGTGCGTGGTGGCGCCCATTTACAAACATCAAGCACTTTATACTTATGCGTGCTCGAATTGTATTCATTACAAGCGCCCTTCCGAGTGCTCTTTGCGCGTGAACTTTGAGGCAAACGGAGGAAGCGCTTGGGTTGATGATCCTGAGAAGACGAAGACGAGGTAAATGGACTGCCTTCGACTCATCTTATGGTACGCATGCTGACTGAAGTTCAGGGGAATCGTTCGGCGCGGCGGGCTGCTTGCCGTCATCAGGCAGGAAGAACTTGAACGGATTCAACGAGAAAGGAAACGTCAGGAAGAACTCAAACGGATTCAACGAGAAAGGAAACGCCAGAAGGAACTCGACCGGATTCAACGAGAACGGGAACGTCAGCGTGAACGCGAAGCCGAGTCGGAAGCCCTGTCTCGTAAAGGACGACGAACCAAAGTATCTGTCGTGGTCCAGTCATCTCCTCGTGCCACCAAGCAGTCCTCTTGTGTGAAGATAGAAGACCGAACGCTGCGGGGGTCCACCGAGCCTCTCAAGGAAAGGGACCTCTTGCGCGTGGGAGAGTCGCTTATCAAGACTGAGGACTTGCTTTTCGGGCTCCGTGCCCGCAAAGAGGTATTGGAGCGGCGCCTCAGACGCCAGGATAACTTGCGAGTAAAGGATGAAGACGACTCATCGGTGTTGTCGGATCCACCGAGCGATTCGGACACCTCGGTCTCTTCGGGCTCCTTCAACTCTTCGCATCATTCGGAGAGTTCAGAGACTTCTGTTACGTCATATATGACGGACACTTCGTCGACTTACGAGTCCTCGGGGGACGAGGGCTCTGATTCGGACGTGTAGGCCAGAGCTGTGTTGAAGAGTTGCGGTTTCGCAACTATACTGCAGGACAAAGGCTCTTTCCTTTTTTCCTTTCCTATGTTCTTTTCTTCTGTTTTCTTTCTTATTCGCAATTTTCAAATTGCAAAAGTGCCGTAATACTATTGAGTTAGTCGTCCTTTTCGCTTTTTCGTTCTGCATGTCTGTTCGGCTTACCGTCCTTGACTCTGTCGTCTGATTTCTCTTGACTAATGTTTGTTCTCCTCTGTTTGCTGTTTCGAAACTGCTAGAGTTCTCGTGTCTGCGCTACATTGATCTTTACCATCGTCGGTTTCAGGAAGTTGTAAACTCGTTTGCAAGTGTGTTGTTAGATACTTATTCCGAATGTGTCTGGATTTCAACTTTGTAGCCCGGGAAGTTTCGACTTGGAACCCTCCTCTCGAACAGGATATCCAGCTCCTCAAAGGTCCTCCCTCTAGTCTCTGGGAGACACAGAAAACAGTATATGGTACACAACAAACTCGTCCCTGCGAAGAGGAACCCCAATTTGCCCTTCCAATTCCCCTCGTCCTCGTTCATGGCGTAGGGAATGACAACCGCAAAGACAATTGACCAGACGTAGCAACTGACGGTGGCTAAAGCGATGGTCAGCCCCGGAGTTTCACCGACGAGACTTCCGCCAGCAACACGTAGCAGAACGGACCAAGCGTCAGATCGTAGACGAAATTGCAGACGAGCATAAGTCCGCATTGCGCCCAGGTCGTACTCGGCCCACGCGGAGCGAGATCGATTGCTCCGATGGCGAGTTGCAGGATCATCAACGTCGCACAGCCGAACAGGTACATTGTCCGACGGCCAATGTATGACAGCAGAAACCACGAGAGGCACGTGCCGACCAGCCCAATGGCCGTCAGACCAATGTTCATCGAGAACGCATGCGAGGCGTCCAGCCCCGCCACCTCCATGAAATGCACGGCGTAGTTGATGAAAAAGACGTTCCCCGTGAACGCCTGCATATTGTACGCCATCACGCAGATCACCAGCCGGCGGAGGTTCGGCCCCCGGCAACACTCCCGATACGTCGGTCGGTCGCCCTGGAAGCTTTCCTCCAGCCGTAACGTCTCCCGGATATGCGCCAGTTTGCGAGCCACGTGGACCTCGGCCCCAGGTGCGGTTGTCAGCCGACGCAATGAGATGGTCGCGGCGTCGTCCCGGCCTTGCTTGCAGAGCCAGTACGGTGGGTCGGGGACGAAGGCGACCAGCAGCAGCATGACCGTCGGGAGGGCCCACTGCGCCGCGATGGGGATCTTGTACGACCACGGGGTGTGCATGGCTGCCGTACCCTTGAGGATCCCCGAGGCAATGAGCGAGCCGATCGAGAAGGCGAGGTTGGTCATTGTCGCGACGAACCCGCGCAGCACGAGCGGGGTGACCTCGCTTACGTACGCGGAGGCGCAGATCGGGTAGAAGGCGATGATGCAGCCGTTCACCAGCTCGCCAACAAACAGTTGGGCGGGCGTGTGGCTGAAGAACTGCACGAAGATGAAGCCGATAGAGAGGCATGAGCAAATGGTGATCATCACGCGTGGACCGAAACGATCGTAGGCCAATCCCGACGGGAGAGCTCCTATGATGGCGCCGAGGAGCGTGGCGTAGTTGAAGGCTGACAGCCACCGGGCGGCGATGATGTATTTTCCTTCATGCTGGTAGCCGTAGGTCCGCTTGAAGACGTCCAGTCCGACTATACTGCGCACGATACCTCCGTCCTAAGAGGTCAGATGGGATTCTTAACACGATTGACGGGATGCTTACAATGCCCTTGAGCACGGTCGCCTGTCGGGGTCAGCATGATCGTCCTAATGGCACGAATGTCCCAGTCCTCACATACCAGATTCATAAACAATCCCCAAGTCACTGCAGGCCAGTGTTGTCGCAGTGCAACCCAAAACGTCAGCGAATGTTCGTCATTGGTGAATTCGAGCGACCGTTGAGAGTCGTCGAGGGCGCAGGCGCGGATCGACTGCACCAACGCCGTGCTTTTTTCAGGCATTGACATCGTCCCTGACACTCCTGAGGAACAATCCGCGCGTGATCAAGCATTTTGGATGTCTACTGCGCACTTCGAGATTGCGATAGCGCTCACAAGGTCCCTCGCGTTGAATCTTGGCCATTCGATGATCTCCAATCAGCCGCCGAGTATTTTTCGTCGACCTCCGCTTCCTGGTCAATCCGTCGCCTTGGCAGATCTCCACGGTCGGCAAGCTGCAAGGAAGAAGATAAGAGACGAGGGCCATTCCGATCTCAAGGATCTGTGCTGGTAGCCAGATACTGGTGCAAGGTAATAGGCAAATGAAACACTTGTTTCGCTGTCGTGTTACAGCTGCGGAGGAGTTCCGATGTTCTCAAACAAGAAGAAATTGAGCAAAGACATACGAGTTCCGACATACGACTGTTTCATGGTGAATCTGTAGCATATATTACTGTATGTCCACAGGATCAGTTCACCGAGACTCGGTTCTCGTCATACAACTCTGTTCGATGGAGGGAGCTCTGACTCTGCAGGTGGCGGTCACATGACTTGTCTTCGGTCACGGCACGGTCGCACTGGGCTCTACGGCAGTACTTGAAGGAGAGTGTGTCCTCTTGGTCTAGAATTGGCTACCGAAAAACCATTACAGTCTACGAGAGACAGTTTTCATCGCTGATCGATCCGTTTCAACCCAGTCGCGTGCGAAGTGATCACTGAGCCCAGGTTTGTGGGCTGAGTGAGATTCGGACGCTGATTGTGGACAAGCCACTGGGGTGGCTGGAAACGTAGGTGGCTGTGCTGTCCTCGAGTTAAGTGAGGTCACGGGACGGACAGGCTGGCGATGAAGCCACACTTAGCTGCGCCGCAGCGCTTGAGCCACATTCGCAAAGCTTCAAGAACCCAAATCACATACTCCGTTACATTTACGAATCCTCTCGGAGTAATCATTATATTTGCCGTCTTTGGATCCTTCATGAAGCTGATTCGACGCATTTGGTATACACAGTGATGACACTGGCGCTTCGCATGAAGCATTTCGGGAGTCCGAGTGCGGTCATCTCCATCTCGTCCACCTACCTCTCCGAAGAAATACCCTTCACCTCATTCAAAGTTGTACCACAGATATAGCAGTAGACGTGGTATTCAACATAAGGCTAATATGAACGTAATGGTGGCCTCGTGGCCCATAATGCTGATGGAAAGCTCGAGGTCGGAGGACTGTCCTGTTTTTCGTCCAGTCGACATGCACTCGATTATTGAGCAAAACGACAGCCGAAGTTCGATATCTACCTTCCATGCGTAGTAAGTGTGTTCGACGATGGTATAGCTGATTAATCGAACACGACCTGTGGCAGTTGTTCTTCGTAGTCCGCTGTCGATGATCGGACAACATCGCACTTCCTATTCGCATCACTATCAGACGAACGCATAAATAGCACAATTGACCTTTAGTTAACCGTCCCATGACTGACTGAATAGTCAGAGTACGCTCAGTTTGTGCAATAACGCCTCTCGTACGTTCGTTCGTGCGTGTTCTGTGCCTGCCGCAGTCTTAATATATATTCGATGCTTACATTGTTCAGGTCTTGCGCATACAATGTGTAAGGTACCCCTGACTACGATATGCAAAACCATCAACACAATGTCGGGAGGTTCAAATCTCCATACTGCTTGGCCCATCCTCCATCAAGAAGTCAAGGAGTGACTGACCATTAAGAAAAGGAACCGTACCTCGATCATGCGAGATTACAAGCAATGTCTCATCCGAAACCATTCGTTCTCACCACGATGAAACCCGCCAACTGTACAACAGAGCAAGCTTTATTGGGGGTGTCATGCTGTTCTGAACCTGCTACGCATCTCCGGTGACGTTGACAAAAGCCTCGGACACTCCTTGATTCGTCCGGACCTAATGACCTCACTCCTGGCCAGTACCCGAGACGTACGGCTGTCCGTGTTATAAGAAGAGACTCTCTCCAAAAGAATTTATCCCGATATACAAGCACGACAGATCTTTGAACACAGCAAGGCACACTGCTTGCTGTCTTGTACTTGATCGAGCACCTCGGGAACAGAGACAAGGACCGTAGCTTTCATTATAAGTTGCACTGCGACACTGGCCTGTGGTGATCGAATGTAGGGCCCTGGTATTATTTGCCAGCACCCATTTGGTCCCCTCAATACATTCGATAACAATTTCCCCATCACTGAGGTCCTGTTTTTTGGGGAGCTCAGCAAAAGCTTAGAAAATTTGGAGGACAGGACACCAGACGAGAAAAACATCGCCTTTTGGCTGTATACGGCTGAAGTCAAGCTACATCGTGAGCCCTAACACCCCGAGGGGATAGTTAATCCAATTGACAGCAGGTAGCTGGCGACAGAAACTCTGAGAGACTCGAGGGAAGCAACGCAGGCGGAGGAGAGAATACGTAACAAGCAGACGGGCGAGAGGAATTTGCTCGAGAAGACCAGTGATTGTTAGCAACGCAGCAATTTCGAAAGACAGACGGGGCTGCCTCTTTTCCCCCGAAAGTCTCCTCAAAAAGATCGCATACGAGCTTTGCGCTTCAGACCTTTACCCTCGAATCTGAACCTCAGACTCAGGGACCTTCCATGTTCTTCTTGTCAGGATTTACACAACATAATCACGAGAGTCGTTTGAAATACAAGCTGACGAGATGCCTTTAATGACTCAACCTTTAATGACTCGCACACCGAACACAAAAAGATTCAAAGTGACCCGAAATACCACCACCAATAACGGCAATGATGACTCGAAGAAGAAGAAGCGTACCCAGAACATCCAGACCTCTCAAGCCCTGGCACAGCCAATGCACCTCCACCCGTTTACGTTGATACCGAATCAGTGCTCCCATCGTGGAACACGGTTTGCTTGGTTGTTGCCTTACTGACCGGCAGGACTGCAACAACAACGTGAAATGCGCCCATTCCTTCGCCATTCGGAGCATGAGCATGCAAAAGCCTTACAACTAAT